GGGCTGCCGGCGACCGTGGCGCTTCGCGGCATCCGAGGACCGGCGGACTCCCAACGGACGCACTGCAACGGAAATCGGAAGAGCGCGATCGTCGCACACTCTAAAAACAGCCCGTGCGTCTACTTTCCCGCAAAACACGAGCCAATCACCGCAATTTATGGAGGCAGCTCAGTGAATGACGAGGCCGAAACATTGTTGTGACTTTAAGCAATGCAAAACGTCACACTTGCATTGCTGAATGTCACAACTCAGACTGCGTTTTTTGGGTCCAAACATATGTTTCCGCATCGTCATTCGCTGAGCTGTCTCCGTAAGTTGCGCTGATTGGCTCTCCGAGTGTTGTGCGGGAAAGTAGACGCACGGGCTGTTTTTTAAAGTGCAGCAGTAACCCGCGTACGTTTTGCGCGGAGCACATCGCGACGTCAACGTTTCTCGAAACTCGGGATTATCGCAATCGGGTCAGTTTGGCACGAATCGTGGTTCCGAACGGAGCCCAAGGACGGATGGAATGATGTCGGCTTCACGTATGGATATAAAGAGGGCGTAGCCAATCGCGGGGGAGGGGGGGGGGGGGGGGGGGAGGGGAGGGTGCACTTTGACACGCGCATTTTCACCTCGCTAAAGCATTGTATACATCTATTCGCGTACGCGTAAACCTGTGAGGTGTGTTGCAGCCGGGAAGTCCGTAAACAGAGCGATTGGACGAAACGAACGCGACGAAAACCGGTTGTGTCAAGTTGACGTTGCCGTTTTGTTTTACGATACGGACAGGGCACGCGCGTCCTTCACCACGAACGTCAACAGTTGAGCTTCTTCGCGGTGATGCGCCCCGAGACAAGAGGGCAGATTTTTGCGACGACTGGCCGAGTTATTGCCGGGGCCGACATGCAAATCCGCGTCCGACGGCGACGGCTGTAAAGGCGCGCCACGGCAAAGAATAAACCACTCGCAAAAAGAAGAGGAAAAAAAAAAAAGAGGAACTGTCGCAGTATTTTTTTGAATAAATGACGGCCCGCCAGCAGCTCGCCAACGCGCTCTTGAGAGAAACGCAGGAATAAAGCGAGACAAAAGGAAAGGCGAGTGAAGGAGGAAGAAGCGCGAGTTGGGGGGCTTTATGTTTTCGAGCGACCCGAATCGCGACGGCGACTGTTCCCGCGCTGGCTGTGTCTTTTGGGATGGGGAGGCCTGCGCTCGCGCGAGCTTTTAGACCCGCCGCGAGATGTTTAGCATGGACAGCGGGCTTCGTTTTAATCTTTTGTATCCAGGCTATTTGGCCGATCCCGCTTGATGTCCCCGTAACTCATCTCTGTGCGTCTCTCACGCATACGAAAGCGGTGGCCGTTGGCTCGGCGAACGGCGCGCAGTGGACTGGTCAGGTTGGCGAGGCTTCCCTTTGGATTACACTTGGTCGTTTAAATCTGCCTTCTCGGTTGCGTATTTTCGAGGGGGGGGGGGGGGGGGGGGAATTCCCTCGGCAGATTCATTGTCATTGGTCAATTATTTCGGGTTCACGAAGTTGCAGCCTTGAATGGAAAGCGCCGAATGAACAAGGACGAAGAAGGGGACAGAGACGAAGCACTTCGTCTCTTTCTTCGTCCTTGTTCATTCGGCGCTTTCCATTCAATGATGTACCAACTAGCCCATTTATCTATTTTACTACAGTTGCAGCCACCTGCTGTTCTTTCTGCAAGATAGGCGTAACTCCAACTGTTATGCTAGCTTCATAGGTTGTACACTATAAAAAATGCCTGCGCGTCTACTTACCCGCATAACACTTAAAGAGCCAATCCCTGCGACCTGCGAAATCAGCTGAGCGAATAATAAGGCGGAACATCCGTTTAGACCTCAAATTTTGGTCTGCGCTGTGGCTTTACGCAATGCAGTGCGTCATGCTTGCATTCCGTAATGACACAGCGCAGACTTAATTTTGAGGTCTAAACAGATGTTCCGCCTCATCATTCGCTCAGCTGATTTCGTAGATCGCAGAGATTGGCTCTTCGAGTGTTCTGCGGGTAAGTAGATGCGCAGGCATTTTTCAGAGTGTATGTCCTTAAAACTTTTTTTTTTTTTTTTTTCACTTAAAAATTTATACGTTGAGACAACTTTTGATGAGCAAATACTTTCTTGGACACATACATTTCGGGGAGAGACTTCATTCTCCCGAAACGTTTGCGTCTACACTCTTAAAAATGCCTCCGCGTCTGCTTACCCGCAATACACTCGAAGAGCCAATCTCTGCGATCTACGGAATCAGCTCAGCGAATGAAAAGGCGGAACATCCGTTTAGATCTAAAAATGAAGTCTGCGCTGTAGCATTGCGCAATGCAAAGCGTCATGCTTGCATTGCGTAATGCCACAGCGCAGACTTAATTTTTGAGGTCTAAACGGATGTTCCGCTTCATCATTCGCTGAACTGATTTCGTAGATCGCAGAGATTGGCTCTTCGAGTGTTTTGCGGGTAAGCAGACGCGGAGGCATTTTTAAGAGAGTAGTCAAGTTCCTTTTGCTATTCAAATACCGTATTTACTCGACTAATAGCCGCACTATTTATGAACAAGGTCCTTGCGTCTACTTTCCCACAGAACACATAAACAGCCAATCATCGCGTTGCGCAAAAATAACATAGCGAATAACTAGGGCGAGAGCACGATTCTCCATACAAATGCAATCTTCACAGATGGTATCTTCGCGCGAAGACGTTATCTCTGTCCTGTAAACCGCTTAAATCATGCTGTCGATCACGGTGATTGGCAAGCCGCATGCTCCGCGGAAAAGCGAACCCTCAGGTTTTCTTCATAAACAGTGCGGTTATTACTCGAGCAAATACGGGATACGTTCTATAGGACGAGGCACCAGACAAAGAGCAGCAAAAGAATCGAACGAACGAAACGTTCTTCTTATTTGGTATATAATAAATTATTATAAAAGGAGATGTTTGACTCCTGAAATGTAGCCGGCTACATTTTCGTGATTATAAAACAAAAACAAAAACTTTTTTTTTTAATTTGGCCCAAAACAAACAAACAGAAAAGCTGCGCACTTAAAATGCATTTATGCGCTTAAGCGCCGCCATTGCAATGAGTGTCACGCAACGCACACCCGATGTGCGCACCCGCACACACCCATGCACATAACCAGGAAAAGAAGTTGGTCAACATTGCGCTTACACATCGTTTACGAGGAACTGGCCCCTTTTGCATGTTTTCTCCAGTCTCTTCACACGCAGTTGTATAGGCACATGCGCGTTGTCGTAAGCACATACCTGATAGTAAAGTTTAGCGGTGCGTCAAATTATATATACTAGTCACCGATTAAAAATATAATGGTCATTGACTTGCAATATAGATGGTCGTTAAGTATAGGGTTGATAGTTTCCACATCGTAACTGCAATCACACATTGTTAATTTCATTGATTTTAGAGCGAAATTTTCCCGCCAAGGTATACGTCGGGTCGGAGGCGGTGAAGAAGTGCTTTAGAATTTCTCTGGAGATCGTTTAGCATTCCGAATCACAGCTCCGATCCAATTGGAAAAGAGTGGACTGCCACTCTGCGCCATTAAACCGTCGGTTATCATTTGTTTGGCATGATGTTCCGTCAAAGACTCGAAGTCAACCTTAGAAAGTTCTTTCGCGTCCATTTCAATACTCGTGAATCCAGGCAGCTTTTCTGCCCTTTGTTGTCATGGGCGAGTTTCGTATCTGCAGTTTAGTGGGGATAAAGGAAAGGCGACAATGGCGCCGCTTTGAACCTCGTCTGCTTGTAAAACGCGGACGCCAGCAGTGTAACAAAAACGCCCGCGCCGAATGTTTTAAGATAAATAAAGCGACGCGTGCAAATAGCCTGAGCGTTGTGTTTGACGCGGGGATGTTTGGGTAGCCGAGCTCTCTGTGGGCCTCGCCAGATTTGAGCACGCCCTTCGCCCCCTCCACCGCCTCTGTCCATCCCCTCTCTCCCGCTGAGCGCCACGCGACCGCCGTCGAAGCATCGCGGTGCTTGATTGTTTTTGATTGGTGTCGGGCCACTCCCGGGGATGCACTTTGTCTTCCAGTTTACCCAGCTCCCGGCATTTTTCCGAGCTCTGAGTTGCTGAGTCATAGCAGAAAGCGACGTAGGAGGTGCTCGGAGAGCCCCAACGGGTTCTTTGGAGGATGCCCGTTCTTCCCTCGCAAACGTTCTCGGGGTCATGGGGGAGCATTCCGCATTTGCAAGCTCGCCGCTTTCTCTGCTCGCTAAATGTCGTCGAATTCATTTGCGAAGAGTACAGAAAGCAGTCTCCTTTTTTCCGTCGAGTGGAAGTATCTTTCTGTAAAAGCCTTACTTCTTGTTTTTTTTTTGTTTTTTTTTTGGGGGGGGGGGGGGGGGGGGCGAGTCGAGGGTGCGAGTCACTGGTTAGCCCTACAGTCGCCAGCATGAGGGCCTAGCACCGACACACCGAGATTAAATAGTGACAAAATGAAATTTCTCTCCAAAATTGTTACGGCGGATCCGTATCGCCAGCGATAATTTTTCAGCAAGCATACAAATGCTCCGCACAAAAATGCGCCGATGTTACACGACACAATATTGCTCCCCCAGTTAGGCGACGCTATTGTTGTCAGTTCTCTCTTTCATCCCATCATCCCACTCCTGGCGGTGTTTCAAACGTAGTGATGGCCTGTAGCTGAGCCGGTTGGTTATCCATGCTTACTGATTACCAGCTGAACGTTAGGAAAGCCAGCAGTGTGTTTCTTTCTCTCTCTCTTCGTCGCTTTCCTAACGTTCAGCTGGTAATCAGTAAGCACGGTGTTTCAAACACACGCCGAAATCACTCCCAACTTCCAGCAAACTACTATTGCTCTCAAACTTATACTATAAGCGAACGGAGAAAGAGAGAAAAGGCGGAATTCATCGCCTGCGGTTTGGGCGCCGAACCACAGATGGCGCTTGGCGTTGTTGGGCCGAAGGGAGAGGAACCCGTGCGAGGGGTGCCGAACAAACGCCGGCTCTGCTCCGGAGATCGGGAGAGTCCGACAGCTGCGTCGCTTCGTTCCACGTTCAGACCTCGGTTGGCTCTTGCCTGGCTGCCTGCTGCTTGCTCTTGCTTGATCCGTCGCGGCGGCGCGGGAAAGACGAACCGCCCTCGTCGCTCGTCTCGGGTCCGGACCTCGAGGGGCCGCGACCCTGCGTCGGTGCTAGTCGCCTCTTGTCGCAGCCGTGGTCTTCGAGTGGACCTTCTTCTAAAACAAAAAAACCCTTATTTTTTTTTATTTATTTATTTTGTTTACGCCCGGTTTAATTTGCAAGGCGCGGGTGAAGGTTTACTAGGTTGACGCGCGGAACGCTGCTACAGTTTTTTATTTGGTTTACCCGTGGCCACGATGCTTCCGCTGCCGATTTTCGCTTGCTGGGACTTGGTTGGCGCTCTGCGCACTGCTGCTGCTCTTACCGCCGCTGCTCATTCTGCTGGAGCGGTCTCGCGGTCGCGAGCTGGCGTCGTGGGAAGCGGTGTGGCCCCGTGAAGGCGACTTTCTCAGAGGTGAGCGTTTTGAGACTTTTGGGGACGCGGTTGGGACATGGAGTGGTGTCCGCGGTTTTTATCCAGTGGACGGCGGAGAGATCGCGAGATTTCCTTCACGAGGGATCTCTCATGAACACTTTCGCCGCGGCTCGTGGACATGTGAGGTTAAGAAACAAGCACAAGGTCAACAGCGCATCGGACGATGATGACCTTTTGCTTGGTTCATTTTTTTGCTTGTAGTTCAGAAGGCAACGGTCACGGTGCTCCTCTGTGCAATCAAAACGGGTTTGTGACGTCAGCGAAACATTTATGCGTCCCAGTAAACGCGCGCAAAAAGGACACGGAAGAGTCACAACATGTCGCGCTATATGCACGACACGCCCATGTTTAGAGGAGTGAGAAAACCTACCAGGCGTTTAATGCAGGCGCGCGTATACTGCTTGGCGTACTTAGCGATGTCACTTGTGTGACGGGTTGCACTATCCTAATGAAGATTAAAACGGAAGTTTTTGGTTTTTTAGCTGACGGTGGTACCGTCCCTGGAGGTTTTTGGCGCGCTTTTCGGCAGCGCGTTTGATTCGCAGTGGTCAGTGCAAATTAGGGCAGTCCGGACGAAGAGATATCTAGAGGTTAGCCTTCTTCGGCTTTCTTTCTGCTTTCGCTTATTGGGCTCTTTTATGACCGGCGAACGGCCCTTTAATTCGAACCGTACACATTGTCGGAAAGTTTAACGAAGAGAGAGGGACACGGTAATGAGGCGGTCATTACGTGGACTATGCGCAGGCGAAAAAAAAAAAAAAAAAAAGTCGTTAAGATATCTTAACGGATATTGAGCTTTTAGTCCCTCTCCTCCCTTTCCCTCGCGCGCTCTCTCTCATTATCTTTTTATCTATCTCCTTTTTTTTTACTGTTTGATTTGTTTGAGCCGCCATTTTGTCCACTGGCGTTTTCTCGAGGTTGATTTGCGTATTTTTATCCAACGAATTTGAGGGGCAAAATAAACACGGACCGAACTTGATGATGACACCCCCTCCCACTTCTCCCGGAAGGAAGAAAAAAAAAAAGAGAACACGGAAGGGTAAACTAAGAGTAAGTGGTGTCGTCCATTATTTGCCCGTTTGTCCTACTTGCCTACTTCGTTTTTGTTTTTTCATTTTTCTATATTGTGTTGGATCTTTTTTTTTTTTTTTTCGCATGAAGTTTCTTCGAAAAGGAATCTTCGACGTCCATTTGCAAGATTAAAAGGAATTGATCTCGAGTTCTTTACATTTCTGGAGCACCTCTATCTTTCCCGTATTTTTTCTTTATTCCTTTTTTTTATTTTCCCGCCCGATTTCTTAACACCTGTCTTGTTCTGTTTCGAAAAAGAAGAGAGAAAGGCGATATATTCTTCCCAAATCTTTCTCCTCTCTTTTTCTTTTTTTTTTACACTAGATTTGTGTGGGCAGAAATTATACGCTAGTACATAAACAATAAAAAAGAAACCGGGCCGTCCATGTTTAAGATTAGCGCTCCCTCCTTTTACGCGCTCTTACTCCTCTAATTTGCGCTGGAATATTTTTTTCTTTTTTTTTTTTTTTAACGATGCGAAGCGATTGATAACTTGTCTCGCCGCTAACCCACCAGAACTCGAGGAGCTCGGCCTCCGTCCCTTGTCTCTCGGACGTTGCAACGACGTCCCTGGCTCGAACCTTTGTTCGCGCGCAGTGGTCTGAATTCTGCGACTGCGCAATGTTGGCCGTGCGAGACAACTCCACAAACTGACTTCCCCTTCCTCATCGTTTCGTTGTCGAGAGGGTGAAAGTTTTTGACGCCCGTCACTGCACCGAGACACCGCACACTCGGGTAAATTGCTATAGTAATCGCAATTGTAATCGCAGATTGCAGAAAAAAAGTACTTCGTTACGATTGCAATTACTTCTGGAAAACAACGCAATTAATTACGTCGCAGTGTTCGCGCTACCCGATTTGTCGATTCGACAACCTTTTGTTTCCGCGTTCCATTGTTCCAGGATTCGCTGCGCGGCGTTTTAAATTCGTCGCGTTTTGTTTCTTTTGTTTCAGGAGGATATGAAATAGGGAAGCGCAGTTCCGAGCACCGCAGTTTCATTATTTTCCGACATCTGTTCGATGGTTAGAGCGCTGTTTTCTGTCGCAAAAGTTCAAAGTATAAAAGGTTCAGTGACAGGCCAGTGTGTCACGGAGGGCCGAATTAGGCCCTCCGTGACACGCTCTGCAGCTCACTTGTTTTTACTCAGTTGTAAGCTTCACCGTGCGTAGCAGCGTCAATAATGAAAAAATAAAAGTTGTAGTAGTAAGGCAAATTTATGTCATGAAACATTTAAATTACTAGTTCATCTTCTCTTCGCCAGAAGGAATGAAATACACCTATAACTTTCTCAAAAACTAAATTATTTACAGTGATTCGAGTACTGCGAATTTCTACCCGAGGGTACGGACACTCGTCAGGTTTAGCGGGGAGGGCTCAAACTGTGCGAGCGCTCACGCTACATATTTTGTTCCGCCTCGAGTCCGAGAGCAGCGAAGCCGTTACAGCATCCAAAGCGCAACGTCATGGCGTTCATCTTTCTCTGCGTAGATATTGTATGGGCGAAACCAAGCGAGCCCAGTGAGTGCCCTGTGACCCGCGTTTGTTAGTCTGCTCCGTATTTGTATACCTATGTTGGAGCAGCTTCGACCGTGTTCTGACTTAAGATGGAACGATGTGTACGCGCCGAGAAACTGAGGGAGAGGAGGAGTTGAGGACGTCAGAACGCCGAACTTTGACTGGAATGATTAGTGGGTAGGCGGTCTTTGTTTCTATACGTACTTCGAACGCCTCCGATTGCCGAACGCCGGAGTCCAGCGTTCCGCGTTCGAGGAGTGAGTAGAGGCAAGGGCAGCTAGCTTTACGACCCACGCACCGTTCCATTCAGGGCTCGGCGTCCCCGCGCCTTCTCGTCTCCTCAGTCTCTCGGCGCGTATATACGGAAGCGCTTTGTGTGCGCCCGTGCCGGTGTCTTTTCCACGCTGCGTGCTGCAGTGGTCAAACTGGTGCCAGAGTCCTTCGATACGGTCGCGAAACGCCTCCGCAACGCTATGGGAGAGGAGCTTGGTACGCGACCGCGCGGGGCGTCGACAAGGGAGCTACGAGGAGCCGCCAATCTAGCCAGCACTGCTGAATGTCTGGCAACCAGAAATTGGGATCGCGGCGTTTCGAGCCCGCTTTTGAATGAGCCACCACGCTGTTGACGGGTCGTTCTCCGACAGCGTTTCTCGTTGATTTAAGCGCCTACAGCTCTGTACACTCGGTAACCTGATCGAATTTCCGTTTCTGCTATAATCTCCAAAATAGAATCGCTGTTCAGTTCTCCCTCTTGCCTCCAAATGAATTTTCACTACCGCTATCAACGTCACCATTCAGCACCGCGAGTGGCGTTATTGAGTAGAGGCACTGTGAACCCGTACATTCAATGGATTGCCTGCCTCTTTATTGCTTGTAAACATCTTTTTTCTTTTTGAAAAAAAAAGGGGTATTTGTATGTTTTGTTTTTAGATGCCAATACAGAATGATGGGTGCTTTCATAAAGTGATTAATTTTAACGAAATGTCGGTGCGTGATAAATTGTTTTTCAAAACTTTTCATCGCGAATTTGAGGTGGCTCACTGAGAGGGTAGTGGCCAAACAAAAAATAAAATGAGACTTATCTGGAACAGCGGCGCCTCTGGTGGCAGTGTTTGATCCTGTACCAAACTTTGGCCGAAGCGCAGTGAAGAACTCTGTTGCTGCTCTTCGACGGACACGGAAGTCGCTACATCGCTAACCAGACCGCCTTTTCGTCGTCTGAACGTCTGTATACAGCCAGTGTTGTAGACGGTTCCGAGGCTCGCTGTCATCTGAGCAGCCTTCCGATTTGGCGACTTCGCTACGGTCCGCACACTGTTGTCTTCGGAGGGCCAGTTGATCTCCCGGGCGTCGGCAGTTTCGGATGCAGCCTCGATTTCACGAAACCAGTCCAGTCCAAACCACGACCGTCCAATGGAAAGACGGCTGCGTGCACCAAAGGCTATGAATGCTAACGCATTTAAGAAGTGGCGTTGCGTTTTTGGTACTGCTTGGTTGGCCCCATGGGCTCGTAGCGTTGGCTGCGTCAAGCTGCGTTAATGAAGTGCTCGGAGGTTTCACGTGACGTACTTCCGGTCCGAGCTCTCGGCACGATGTTACGATGAACTTTGCCTTACGTCTTTTGGTGCGCGGATGCAATGCTTCCCAGATCGTTGAAGTTCTTTAGCGTCGTGCATGCACATCGACTGCGCCAGCCAGAGGAATCGGGAACACAAAGAAGCATCGTCTTGTACTTGATTTTGAAACAAAAAAAAAGAAAAGGAAACGGTTTTTGTTCGGGCTTCAGACGAGCCGGCGGTCGAGAGTTAGGCTCGTCGGCGGCTACATTTCCGCCCGGCAGACTCCGCCGGGCGGCACCTAAGAGGGAGAAAAGCGGAGTAGGCACGGGTTAATGCGGTTCAACTGCGTCCCCCAGTCGTATACTTGCTGAGATCTGTTGTCTCGACGGAGCCTCTCGGCATGCATCTGCGTTTCGTCAACACTAAAAACGGCGTCAATATCTTGGTGTCCGCGTGCGAATAAATGAGGAAAGTAACGGACGCTGTTAGCGCAGCGTACCGGAAATGAAAAGGCGTTTTTTTATACCGCCCTGGTCACGTACAAGTGTAGCGGCAGAGACGAACATTAGTATTATTATGCGGCGCCTGGAACGCGTCTCCGTCCGATGTGTTTAGCGTCCTATATTCCGCCCGTGCATGGTCCCCAAGTGGCAACAAATGACGCCACGGAGTGTCAGGCTCCGGTTATGGCGTCGATGTCGCGATCCTGGCAATTAAAAAGTAAAAACGTTTGGCAAAAAAGAAAAAAAGAAAAGACAGGCGAGAGAATGCGAGCGTCGCCGTTCTCGCGGCGTCCCGCAGCTCCTTGCTGTCGAAGCTTGCGTGGCCTGTCA